CCATCTCATTCCACCCATGGGCAGGGACACCTTCTGCGAGAGCAGGTCCAAGCCCCATCCATCCTGGCCTTGGACAGCCCCAGGTCCTCCATACAGCCTGTGCCAGTGTCTCACCAGCCCCACAGGTGTGCACCCCAAGGGACAGCGCAGTCCCACAGGCTGCCCAGTGCAGCGATGGGGAGCAGGGGAGCTCTGTGGGACTCAGGCCTGGTGAGGAGCACCCGCTCCCTAGGCGCCCCGGTGTCACCCTGACCCCGCACGTACCGTACATGCGCCAGTCAAGGCTCTCGGGCAGGATGATGCCGGCGTAGAGCTCAGCGGGGAAGGGCAGCCCGTTGTTGGGGGTCCCGCTGCGGCGGCGGCCCCGCAGGGCCGCCAGCTCCCGCGGCGTGCGGTCGGCCAGGTGGTTCAGGGCCAGCGTGTAGGAGAGCGCGGCGCGGTTCCGCGAGTGCACAAACCTGCCACCGTGGTGGAGACGGCGCCAGCTGGCACTGCCAGCGCCTCCTTGGCTCAGGCAGCCCCAGAGGGTCGCCGTCCCCCCGCCTGCCCGTACCTCATGTTGTGCACAAAGATGCTCTGCCTGTGCTCCAGCTCCCGCACGGAGCCGTAGTGCCACCCCATCTGCCGACGGTACTCGTGGAAAGCCCGGTGTGCCCAGGGCCGCTGCTGCCCCACCAGGTCCTCCATGGGGTTCGCCAGCACCCGGTGCTCCGCCACATCCCCCGGCAGCTCCCCACACTTGGTCTCTGGAGGCAGAGAGAGGACGCTGTCAGCTGCAGCCCTGCAGGCAGGATGGGGGCCCTCCCTTGCTCACCATTGACGGGGAGGTCGAAGACGGACGGAGGGTAGCTGTTGTCGAAGTCAGTGTAGGCGATTTCGTACTTGTCATAGTGGGAGCCCAGCAGGCTGTTGTACCCCCGCATCTCATAGTGCACGGGGGCCACCCCACAGCTGGAGTTGGTCACCCACAGGGTGTAGACGTTCTTCTTCTGTGCCCAGTGGGTGACGTTCTGCCACACGGCGCAGTACCGGCCCTCGTAGTACTCCTCCCGCAGGAACTGGGGGGGACACGGCCTCAGGGAGGGGACCCCAACCTCCCCCAGGCCACCTGCTGCCCACCCAGCCCCTGTGCACAACCCAGTGCGCACACCCGGTGCTCCAGCTGGATCCAGCGGCTCCACGGCTATGAGCACACGGCCATGCATGGGATGGAAACTGGGCAAGGATACGGGGTGCAACACAGGGCAGACCCCCCCTGTCTGGCTCAGCGGTGCCCTGGGGACACTCCACTGTGCACAGCAATCTGTGCACCCATAGCAGGGGGTCTGGCTGCACCATTTCTCCAAAAACCTGAAAAGATTTCAGGTTTTCGCTGCGTGTTTCCAAGCTCTTGCCATGCAGGCATGCGTCCAGCCCAGTGACAACCTGCTGTCCCCCCTGCTCACGTGCTGTGCCCAGCCCTGAGGCAGGCTGGGGCTGCCAGGAGCTGAGCTGCCGTGCAGAGGCTTGCCCAGACCATGCCAAAATGCCAGCGTTTGTGTGGGATGTGACACGTCCCAACACGGCTGCTGCAGTTGGGAAAGGAACCAGGAGTCCGGCCCCAGTCCGGGTGGGGAAGTGGCCCTCCCTGCACCCTGGGGCGTGGGGACGTGTCCTGGCCGGTCCCAGCACCCTGCAGCCCTCGGACAGAGAGGAGCATCCCCCAGCACCCCCTCCCACAGCCTGGAGGTGCTTTGGGAGGCAGGGCAGGTCTAGGCCCTGAGGTTTCCCACCTTAAAGCCCCTCATGCTGGGGAAGACGCTCTGAGCTGTGACCACGTCCTCCTTGGAGCCGGGCAGCTGGAAGCACTTCCTGGTGTTCACCTCCTTCTCAGTGGTCTCCGGCGTGATCTTGTACCTCATCCCATAGGGCTTCACCGCTGCCAGCTGGTAGGTTATCACTTGCCCTGCGCCAGAGAAAGGGAAACTGAGGCGCAGGAGTCCTGTTGGCGCGGGGGGGCACGGCTGGGTGCCCACCTCTTACCTCCATAATACTGGATCCGGCTCTTGTTCCCCGTCAGGTTGTACCAGGCTTCAAAGGGCTCCTCGATCTCGGCATAGGGCAGCTTAATGACCCCTGCGAGCCCCCGGCACAGGACACAGGTCAGCCCCACAGCCTCAGCACCCCAACATCCCTCCTGAGCCCCCCAGAGTCTGCAGACCCACAGCTGGCCAAGACAGTGCCCCACGGGTGATGGGTCAGGACTCGGCTGTGGGAACCTGCCCCAGTTTGGCACTGGGACAGCCCGGTGCCACCCTGTGCTGAGCGGCCTCTCCTCCCCCCACCACAGGGCGCTGCGGGGTCCCTTTACCTCGGACGTGGTAGATGGAGCCGAACTGAGGGGGTGGGTGGGAGAGCCCATAGTCCTGTCCTGAAAGGCAGAGAGGGGCAGGTTGGGGGGTCTGTGTGTCCCCCCTGGCTGAGTGGGGATGGGAGGCTGCCAAGCCAGTGCTCCCCTTCCCAGCTGCCTGGGGCTTTCCTTCTCGGCCAAAAGAGCTTCCTGAGCTCATCCAAGGGACACTGAGACACTGACACCCTCCCAGGGTCAGCACCATGCCACAGCCTGCCGTGACACTGCAGCAAGTCCTGCACTGTTGCACTGCTGCAGTTCCTGGGTGACAATTGGGGTGATGCCCCAGTGTCACCCCCAGCACTGGTGGGCCCGGCCTTGAACATTTCCAAGGTGAGACCCAGCCACAGGGCATGGCTGAGGGGTGCCAGAGACCGTACTGGTTCTGCCTGGCATCTTCCAGTGCCCTCCCCAGCCTCCCTCCGGGCTCCCAGCTTGTGCAACCCCACGCCAACACAACTGCTGGGAACGAGTCCTTCCCTCCCTCAGCACCTTCCTCCTCGTCAGGAGCGACCGGCAGCGCTGCCCGGACCCAGGCAGCGCCTGCCCAAGCCGGGACAGCTGGGAGCAGCCCTGCCCCCCAACCCTGGGGCAGGCAGGGACGGGCAGACCCCAGCTGCACCCCAGGCTGTGCCACGGGTACCCATCACACGCCATCTCGGGGCACCAATGGCAGCAACGGGTGCAGCCACCACCCAGCCCTGCTTGGCTTTATCAACACCCAGAAAGGGGGTCCCATGGGGACACGGTAGCCTTGCCACCCCTGTCCCCTCACACTTGGCTGTCCTGCCTGTCCCTTGGGTTAAAGCCTCAATTTAGTTTTATTTTCATGTCCCCAGCCCCACCAAGCCCTCAAGACACATCCTCCCCCCCGCACTCTTTGCCACCCATCTCAGTTGTGTCTTAGAGGAACTGCAAATTGTGGGGCCCGACAAGCAATAAAACCACTTCCCCAGACTCAAACTACCCTGCAGTGCAGCGGGAGGAGATCCGCTGGGGTGCCCCCCAGCTCCGTCCCCTGCCCGGGGTGTCCCCAGTGGTGGGGTCGGGTCAGACTCACCCCGGACGGCGATGCAGAGCGCAGAGGCCAGGAGCCAGCGGAGATCTCCCATCCTGGCCGCCCGGCTCGCCCGGCACCGGCCTCGCAGCTTTTAGCCGGAGCCAGCGGCGGCGAAACCCGGCGGAGCCAATGCAGAGTCGGGGCCCTCCCCGGAGGAGGGAAGGAGCCGCATCAGGAGGCGCCCACGGGGCCGGGCACCCCTCGGGGCTCGGCGGGACAGCGTGTCTCGGCAGCGCCCGCCGAGGGAGATGGAGCAACGCGGGGACGGGAGGTGCGGGATGAGCCCCACAGTGCCTCAAGCAGCGTTCGGGTGGGCGCCCTGGATGGGGGCTGGGTCAGCCAGGCTTCCTTCCCTCTCAGGGTGAGTCAGGGGGTGCCAAGGTAAGGGTGGCAGCGGGTCCGCAGCCTGCACCAGCCCTGGCACACCCGTGAGAACACTGCAGGAAACATTGCAGCCGGACCCACCGCCAGAGGGAAGAGGGCTCACTCGCCAGGGCTAGCTGCAGGGCCAGGAGCAGAGGAAGGCCCTGGGGAGATGGGAAGGGTCCCGCTCCAGCCCAGCTGTGTGAGAGGCCAGGGTGGCAGAGCCGGGACAGAGCCAGCTCCAGGAGGACTCGGAGAGGATGCAGGGGGCTCAGGCAGCGCTGGGGAGGCTCTGACAGGGTGCAGGGGGGTCACACAGGATGCAGGGGGCTCAGGCAGGGGGCAGGGGCTCTCAGACAGGGGTCTGGGTGGTTTGTGGCTTAGTGTGACCGATGCCGAATCTTGGGGTCATCCCACCAGCAACTTCATCTGGGTAAGGGGTGATTAAGGGCAATCCACGGACACAGAACTGGCTTGAGCCACATAAGAGCTGCACCCCATCTTGGGGGAACGTGTGGGACACCCCTGGAACACAACCCAGAGCTACCTGCCATTCCCCAGGCATGGTGGGCTGTTCACTGCCCCTCCACGGATCTGCCCTGCCCCTGAGAGCCCGGGCCAGCAGGACGGGTGGCTGCTGTGCGTGTCCTGCCACCAGACGGGCCCCTTGTTCCTGTCCCTTGCGGGCCACAGCGCCCTGTGCGCAGTTTGGTGTCCCTTTGTTGTCCCTGCCCGGGGACGCTCCCCCGGGGGTCTCAGGGAGGCACCGCCAGGCTTTGGGCACGGGCTGGACCCGCACCCTGCCCCGTTAATCCCGCAGGCAGAGCCCGGCAATCCTCGCCCGCGTCTCCCGGTGCTGCCGAGGACCAGAGACCCCCTGATGCCCGCTCCCCGCTGTAGCACCTCCACGGGCAGGCTGTGGTCCCCAGCAGGTGCCGAGGCGGCCCGGAGGGTGGCCGGAGGGTGGCCGGAGGGTGGCCGGAGGGTGATCAGCCAGCGGCTGGGCCGGCTGGTACAATGAACCATTGCTGCGAGCGCGGGAGGAAGGGGGGGCGAGGGGAGGGGAAGCTCTCGCTCGGCTGCCAGAGCCGCCGAGGAGACGGGGGAAGCTCACGGCCGGGCGCTGCCGCTCTCCCACGGCACCCGCGGCGCCGGCCGGAGCGGGGCTGCCGTGGCCGCCCGCCGGTGGTCCCGCCGGGAGCCCGGTGCGAGCGGGGTCCGCGCCAGCCGGAGCAGGAGGTATGTGTGCGCTGTGTGCTGCAGGGCGGTGGGGGCTCGCCCCGTAACAGCACGGGGGTCTCTTAATCCCCTTGCCGTGCTCTGCTGAGGATGCCCCCGCCATGTGCGGGGTGGCTCTGGGTCCCGGGCGAGACGGCCACTGAGCTGCGGGGACAGAGAGCCCCGCGACACTGGTGGGGTCCGCTGGGGGGGCCGCTCTCCCTGTGCCCCCACTGCTTCCCTGGGAAATGCGGGAGGGTGGCAGCAGACCCCCGTCCTCGCCATCCCGGGGGCAGCAGGTCAAGGGGGGCTGTGGTGTGTGTGAAGATCTGGGGGCACCCACCAGCTGCAGCTCACCATCCCGGCACTCACTGCTGGTGGCACCAGTCGGAGCCTGCGGGGCACACGGTGCCCTCAGCGTGCGGGACCCGCGGGCTGGGCAGGGGACAGCACACGGCACCCTGGGGACGCGGGGAACACACGCACACCTGTGCCCTCCGTCCCCGCAGGTGCCCGTGGGTTCCGGGGCGATGTTGCAGCCTGAGCTCTCCGCGGCTGAGGCTGGGGGAACCGCGAGGGCCTCAGGCCCTGGCCGGAGCGGATGCTCCCCCCCGGTCCCTGCAGCTCGGCTTCGTCCCTGATCCTTGGTGTGTCCCAAGGAGGGACAGGAACTCGCTGCTTCCTGCCCCGCACAATTCCCTCCCCACCCCGCTCCTCCCGGGACATTGTATTTGGAGCCCTGGCTGGCTCCCTCCCTCCGCCCCTGCAGCCCCTTGGATCCGGGAATTGCTCTTCTTCCAGCGGAAATCCTGCTTTCCCAGCCAGCGATGGGACTGGAAGGCTAGGGCAGGGGGGCTCCCTCTCTGCTGAGCATCTTGTGCCAGGGAGGGGGCAAGGGGACCCCTCTGTCATGGGTCTGGTGGCTGACAGGTGGGCTTGCAGAGAAGACCACTTCTGGGGTTGGCGTTCTTCATTTTTCATCCCAGGGAATAGTCCTGCTTGTGGGGGTGCAGGGGATGGGGTGTCATCCCTCCTTGCACTCCTTGTTCTGGAGGAACCTGCTCCCACTGGGAGCCACAGGGGACTCACCAGGCACTGGGTGAACTGGGAGGACTGGAGCTGGAGCAGGGCTCCATATCCAGATATCAGCATGGTGGCCTTGGGGCTGGGGGCAGTGGGGAAGGGGCAGGGACACTCCACCACCTGACACAGAGCTGGAAGAAGGAGCAAATGGGGCAGGCAGATGTGGCCTCTTGTCCTCTCCCCAGGTCTGTGGGGTCCTGGACACGGGATGGTGACACAGCCCCAGGTCCTGTGTCCTGATGAGCCACCTTCCCCTTCTGCGCTGCAGCTGCCTCATGCCTAAGTTTTCCTGCTGGGACCAGGGGGCTCCAGAGCCGCAGGGTGACAGAGGAACCTCGGTGGCACCAGGCTGGGCTGTGCAGCCCTCTCGGTTCCTCTTCCCAGGGAACAGGAGCTGGGTCACCACGGGGCAATGCAGGATGACAGTGTGGGACAAGGGAGGGATGCAGGATGCCCAGGGGGCTGCAGCCCTGCTGTCATCCCTGTCTGACCCTCCCAGCTGTCACCAGCGTGAGCTCCTGCCAGTCCTGGGCCCCTCGATGGCCACAGCACCATCCTCTTCCTCCCCCCCCCCCACCCCGTGCTCCCGCTGCTTCCTCTTCCCACTGCGGAGGTGCTCTGTGAGTTCCTCCGGCAGCCACCTCCTGCCCAGGGCGTCGTGGCCCCCTCAGCCTGGCAAACGCCACCGTGGCTTGTCCCCACGGCACGGGGTGTGGCATTCCCAGCACCCCACATGGCCCCATGTGGCTGCATGCCCCCAGAGCCTGGCTCCTCCACTGCTGTGATTCCCATGAGAGGGGTGGATGCAGGGGATGGAGGTGACCCCAGGGGTACCTCAGCACTGTAGGTGGCATGTGGGGTGACAACTGGGATATTGTGCCCTGCCTAGCAGCTGGGGATGGGGCTGAGCTGCCCCGTGTCCCAGGGGCCTGGGGAACAGATGGATGGGCAGTCGGGGATGTGGCTGCTCCGTGCCCAGCCATGCCCGGCGGGACGGGGGTGATGAATTGGCCGGGTCTCAGCGCGGGCGGGACCTGGCAGCTCGTCCGGGACTGGTGCCGGGGGAGCCAGGGCAGCAAGGGCTCAGTTGCCATCTGCTCCCCGGCTCCAGGCAGCTTCTTTTTGGGAAAGCTGGAGCCAGACACAGCCGCACAACCATCGGACGCTGCAGCCCCTTCCCATGGACGGCGTGAGGGGATGGCTCACACCATGGCATCCCAGCACCCGGGAGGGGCTCAGGGGGCCCTTGGGTGCGCAGGGAAGGGGGAGCCTGGGTGCAGTGCTGCTGCACGTCAGCTAAACCCTTGATGCTGTGGTACAGGGGGTTCCTCGTGCCTGGAAGATGCTCCTTGCCATTCCCGTCCCTGCTGGCACCTGTGGCAATTCCACTACTTGGTCAGGACTGAAATTCAGCAAAGTGGGAAGTTTCTGAATGTGGTGGGGCGGTGATTGCCACCCAGGGGGGACAGAGTTTGTGAGAGCCAGGATTGTTCATCAGTTTAAATAGCCAGTAATTGTCATCAGGGATAAAACCCCAGCCAGCCGAGTTTCCTCCAATTTTGCAATGCTGCACTGTCGGCAATGGCTGCAGCCTTGCCACAGCACCAGTGTAGAAAGCAGAGATGGAAGGGGAGAGCTGGGCTCTTTCCACCCCTGCTGAGAGAGGAGAAACAGACTGCTGCAAGCAAAGCTAAGTTTTAGAGAGAAATGTTCCCTGTGCCCTGGGTTCCAACATCAAGGGAATCAAGAACCATGACTGGGAAAATCTGCCTGAAACATCTCATCCACCCCAAAACCTTTGTCTCCTGCTGCTCACTGGAGTGCAGAGGACAGGACACCTTCCTGCTGCTTCCCTCTGCCCTCAGCTGCAGACGTGTTGCACACTGGAGCGCTCTGCCCGCTGCAGACTGGGCAGACTGGTGCGGGTGGTTGTCCAGCAGCCAGGGCAATAACAGGGCTGGCGATGGACCATAGAGCCATGACAGGAGGGGTCTGATTTCCTCCTCCTCCTCCCCCTCTGTGACACTTTCTCGACACATGTGGCCGGAAGAGCTGTCCTGAGCACAGCGATGCGAGCAGGGACCTTCCTCCCCAGAACACCCACTGCCCACCAGGCAGAGCTGTGGGGATGGGGACGCTCTGGGGGCTCCTTCCCACTGCCTCTGGCTCCCCTTCAGCCTCAGGAACACCCTGAAAGGCGTGAGATGCCCTGAAAGGACGTGAGCAGTGTGGTGAGAACATGGTGAGAGAAAAACCCACTTGAGGATGTGGTTTCAGCCCACACCAGGGTGTTGCAGCCCAGGAGGAATGTTGCAGCTTTGTGGGGGTGTTGCAGACCATGCAGATCAATTTAGCTCATGCAGAGGGGCTGCAGCCTGTGAAGGGATGGTGTAGCCCATGCAGGGGTGTTATGGCTCATGCAGGGGTATTACAGCCTGTGCACGGGTGCTTCAGTCTGTGCAGGGCTGTTGTAGCTCATGCAGGGGTGTTACAGCCGATGCAAGCGCTGTTGCAGTCCATGTCGTTGGTGTTGCAGCCCGTGTAGAGGTGTTGTAGCCCATGGCAGGGGTGTTGCATCCTGCTGTGGGGTGTTTCAATCTATTCAGTGGTGTTTTAGCCCTCGGCAGAAATGTTTCAGTATGCACAGGGGTGTATCAGCCCTGGAAGGGGTGCTTCAGTCCATGCAGAGGTGTCGCAGCCTGTACAGGAGTATTTTATCCCATGGAGGGGTGTTACAGCCCATGGCAAGGCTGTTTCAACCCATGCAAGGGTGTTGCCCCCCACCTGATGCCCTCCCTGGTGTCCACAGGTGACTCTTCTCCTCCCTGGAGCGACATGGAGCAGCTGAAGTGACCCGAGGAGCCGTCGCAGTGAGTGGAGCCGCCGTGGAGCACCCACGGGTGCCAGGGGGATGTGGGCAGCCCTCCTTGCAGCAGTGCCAGTGGCTGTCCCCTGTGGTGCAGTGTGCTGGGCTGCGGGTGGCAGGGTGCACCCAGAGCCTCTCCCCATGTGCACCCTGGTGCCCGTGTGTGCCCAGTGCCCGTGTGTGCCCAGTGCCCGTGTGTGCCCCGGTGTCTGTGTGTGCCCCTGTGCCCATGTGTGCCCCGGTGTCCGTGTGTGCCCCGATGTCTGTGTGTGCCCCTGTGCCCGTGTGTGCCCCGGTGTCCGTGTGTTCCCCGGTGCCCGTGTGTGCCCAGTGCCCGTGTGTGCCTGGTGTCCGTGTGTGCCCCAGTGTCCGTGTGTGCCCCTGTGCCTGTGTGTGCCTGGTGCCCATGTGTGCCTGGTGTCCGTGTGTGACCCAGTGTCCGTGTGTGCCCCAGTGTCCGTGTGTGCCCCTGTGCCCGTGTGTGCCTGGTGTCCGTGTGTGCCCCAGTGTCCGTGTGTGCCCCTGTGCCTGTGTGTGCCTGGTGCCCATGTGTGCCCAGTGCCCGTGTGTGCCCCGGTGTCCGTGTGTTCCCCGGTGCCCGTGTGTGCTCCAGTTCCCGTGTGTGCCCCGGTGCCCGTGTGTGCCCCAGTGCCCGTGTGTGCCCAGTGCCCGTGTGTGCCCCTGTGCCCGTGTGTGCCCAGTTCCCGTGTGTGCCCGGTGTCCGTGTGTGCCCCAGTTCCCGTGTGTGCCCCGGTGCCCATGTGTGCCCAGTGCCCGTGTGTACCTGGTGTCTGTGTGTGCCCGGTGTCCGTGTGTACCCCGGTGTCCGTGTGTGCCCAGTTCCCATGTGTGCCCAGTGCCCGCGTGTGCCCCTGCCCGGGGCCGCGGGGCTCATGGACCCTCTGTCCCACAGGCGCTGGCCAGGATGGGCTGTGTGCCCTGCAAAGAGAGGGGGGCTGGCAAAGGGCAGGCAGGGGGCGAGGGGGGCTCCCTGCAAGCCCCTGCCTCCCAGTACGACCCCGACCCCACGCAGCCAGGGGCCGCCTTCACCCGCATCCCCGACTTCAACAACTTCCAGGGGCCAGCGGTGCCCGCGGCCCCGTCCTTCTCGGAGCCGGGGGGCTTCACCCCCAACGCGCTGCCGCCGCGGAGCGGGGGCATCACAGGTCAGCAGGGCGGCAGGGGGACGGGTGCCAGCCGCACCCGTGGACCCCTGGGCCGCGACTCTGGGGTCACCGTGGTCCCTTCCCCGTGCCACAGGCGGGGGGGTGACGCTCTTCATCGCCCTGTACGACTATGAGGCCAGGACTGAGGATGACTTGACATTCCAGAAAGGGGAGAAATTCCACATCATCAACAACACGTGAGCCCCCCCAGCCCTCCTGCCACCCCCAGCACCCACATACCACCCCGGGGAGAGCCTTGGCAGCCCCGCAGGACCCAGGCTGGGGACCCATGTCTGTCAGGCTCCAGCGCTCAGTACCGGGCCACGTGCCACGAGTTGAGCGGTCTCAGCAGAGGAGAGGGAGAACGGGTCCGGCGGTGCTGCCTGCAGGGTGAGGAGGGTCTCACGGTGTCTCTCTATCTGTTCCTCCTCCTCCTCGTTCTCTGTTTCCCTGCCCAGGGAGGGGGACTGGTGGGAGGCCAGGTCGCTGAGCTCGGGGGCCACGGGCTACATCCCCAGCAATTATGTGGCCCCTGTGGACTCCATCCAGGCAGAAGAGTGAGTAGTGGGGGAAGAGGGATGGAGACAAGCCCCAACCCCACCTGCCTCAGGCCAGGGTGTCCTTGTGAGCCCCGGCAGTGCCACAATGATGGCATGGGGGCTCCCTGGTGCCCTCCCGGTGCCTTCCTGCGCTGAGCCCATCGCCGTGGCAGGTGGTACTTTGGGAAGATCGGGCGCAAAGATGCGGAGCGGCAGCTCCTGTGCCATGGCAACTCCAGAGGCACCTTCCTCATCCGGGAGAGTGAGACGACGAAAGGTACAGGAACAGGGGTGGGGACACCAGGGGTTGTGCCCCACATCCCTCCCTGACCGGTATCCCCATGTAGGTGCCTACTCCCTCTCCATCCGGGACTGGGATGAGGCCAAGGGAGACCACGTGAAGCACTATAAGATTCGGAAACTGGATAGCGGGGGGTACTACATCACCACCCGTGCCCAGTTCAACACCATCCAGCAGCTGGTCCAGCACTATATAGGTAGGGTGGGGTGAGGAGCACCGTGGGGGGCAATAGGAGGGGCAGGGAGCGCTCAGAAGACCCTTGGGTAAGAGTCTGGGCTGACGGGGTTGAACTGGGGAAGGAGAGGCTGTTCTGTGGTGGCATTCGGGCAGTCCCTGAGAGTCTCCCCTTTTCCATGCCCAGGGTGCAGAGAGGTCCCGCCATGACCCACTCCCTGGGTGCAGCTGGGGGCACTGGGGGTCCAGCCCAGTTGAGGGGGCACAGAGCTGTCCCTAGGGCAGGTGGAGGGGGGTGCATTTGTATGTTGGGGGTGACTGGGTGATACAGGAGCCTTGCTGATGCCTTGGGTGGCGGGAGGGGAGCAAAGGGCTGGTGGGGGTCCGTGCCCACACTGACTCCTGTCCCCCTGCTCCCGTGCTGCAGAGCGGGCGGCTGGGCTGTGCTGCCGCCTGGCTGTGCCGTGCCACAAGGGAACCCCCAGACTGGCCGACCTCTCAGTCAAAACCAAAGATGTGTGGGAGATTCCCCGCGAGTCCCTCCAGCTGCTCAAGAAGCTGGGAAATGGGCAGTTCGGGGAAGTCTGGATGGGTAGGGCCTGGTGGGCAAGCCAGGGCAAGAGGCAGGGGGGACACGGGGGTACCCCCAGGCCTGGCAGCCCACTGGGAAAAGCTCATGCCTGCCAGGACAGGCTGAGCGACACCGACTTGCTGGCACAAGGAATTATCCTATTGTAAATGTAGTACACTTACCACATTATCCCACATCCTGCGCTGGGTTCACAGTGGGTCCCCCAGGATGCCCCATGTCACTTCTGCATGGGCAAGCAGACCCCCACTGCAGATGGGACCACAGGACCAGGCCAGGGGGTCCCACCTTCGTCATCCTCTTCCTCCACTCATGCATGCTGCCTTCATCCCATCACATCCCCTCCCTCTTCTTCCCTGCCTGCCCCCCATCCCCCGCAGAGTACAATGACGGGTTGTGTCATCTGCTCACCCACCCGTGCCCTGCTGTGAAGCCCCAGACCCTGGGATTAGCTAAGGACGCCTGGGAGATAGCACGGGAATCCGTCACCCTCAACAGGAAACTTGGCATGGGATGTTTTGGAGACGTGTGGATGGGTAAGGCTGGACCAGCCGGCCAGGGGTGGGGGAGCGGAGGGGGCAGGAGAAGCAGGGAACATCACAGGGTGCCAGGTGGTACCCGCTTGTGTGGGGGAAATTGAAATCTGGCACAGAATCCATGAGGGGTTTGGGAATGGGGTGAGGTTTGTCCTGGAGTGAAGGGAACACCTTGTCCTGGGTGGGATGCAGTGGGATCACCATCCCCACCAAGGGATCCCTTCCTTGCCCTGCCCTGATTCCCTGCCCATCCATCCATCCATCCATCCATCCATCCATCCATCCATCCATCCATCCATCACACAAGCATGCACCCACGCCCTTCTCCATGCACACACCCCTCTGTCCCAGGCTGGCTGTCCCCTGGGCTCATGGTGACTCTGTGCCCCACCCCAGGGACGTGGAATGGCACCACGAAGGTGGCAGTGAAGACGCTGAAGCCGGGGACCATGTCCCCTGAGGCCTTCCTGGAGGAGGCTCAGATCATGAAGCGGCTGCGGCACGACAAGCTGGTGCAGCTCTACGCCGTGGTGTCGGAGGAGCCCATCTACATCGTGACCGAGTTCATGAGCCAGGGTGAGCGGGGGCACCGGTGTGGGCATGCTGCCAGGGCGGGAGGGCTCACAGGGAGGGCACCCTGGGGTTTTGGGGGTCTTCGATGGCGACTCCTTCTACCTGCAGGCAGCTTGCTGGACTTCCTGAAGGATGGGGACGGTCGCTACCTGAAGCTGCCGCAGTTGGTGGACATGGCTGCCCAGGTACTGGGGAGCTGGAAGCGGGTGGGGTGCACCCCGGGGTGTACCGGGGGTCTTCACTGCTCCGTGCCCCTCAGATTGCGGCGGGCATGGCATACATCGAGCGGATGAACTACATCCACCGGGATCTCCGCGCTGCCAACATCCTGGTGGGAGACAACCTCGTGTGCAAGATCGCCGACTTCGGCCTCGCCCGCCTCATCGAGGACGACGAGTACACGGCGCGGCAGGGTGGGAACGCCCGCTCCGAGTCCCCCTTTGTGTCCCTTAGCCTGGAGGTGGCCGTCCCCGGGGCTGAGTGACCTGGGCAGCGGATGCCCCAAAGGACGGTGCGACAGGGAAAGGGTATCCTGGGTGATGGACACCCCAAATGTATGGGTATTTTAGGTGATGGATACCTTGGGTCAGCCCAGGGTATGGGTGTCCCAGAGGAGAGGTGCCCCAGGGAATGGGTACCCCCAGGGTGTGGGTATTTTGACCGATGGATGTCCCAGGTGAGGGGTGCCCCAGGTGCAGCGCATCCCCAGTGCAGGGTGCCTCGGGTGCTGGGTGTCCCGTGCGTGAGCTGCCCCAGGCAGAGGGTGTCAGGGGTGGCGGGCGCCCCTAGTGCACCCTAGTGCAGGGTGCCCCCGTTCAGGGTACCTCGGGGGCAGGACACCCTCAGTGCAGGGCGGTTCAGGTGACGCTGCCTCTGGTGAGGGGTGTCCCAGGTGTGGGCTGTCCCCAGATGTGGCTGCTCCAGGTGCAGGGTACTTAGGTGTAGGTGCAGCCCCAGCCATGGCTCACCTGTGTCCCATTGCAGGTGCCAAGTTCCCCATCAAGTGGACTGCTCCGGAGGCTGCGCTTTTTGGGAGGTTCACCATCAAGTCGGACGTCTGGTCCTTTGGCATCCTCCTGACTGAGCTGGTGACCAAAGGCCGCGTGCCCTATCCAGGTATGGCCCACTGGGCATATGCACGCCTGGGGTGGGCTGGGCAGGGCACAGACAGGGGCTGACCCCTCTCAGCACGGCTTGTCCCGTGCCTCAGTTTCCCCATCAGAGGGATCAGTGCTAAACTGGGCTCCTACCCAAACCACAGGGCAATGCCACTGTGTGCCTCAGTTTCCCCACTGGCTGGTCCCATGGGGGTGCTGTCACTGAGCAGGGGAGTCCTTGTCACGCAGGGATGAACAACCGAGAGGTGCTGGAGCAGGTGGAGCGGGGGTACCGCATGCAGTGCCCGGGGAGCTGCCCCCCATCCCTGCATGAGGTGATGGTGCAGTGCTGGAAGAGGGAGCCCGAGGAGCGCCCCACCTTCGAGTACCTCCAGTCCTTCCTCGAGGACTATTTCACTGCCACCGAGCCCCAGTACCAGCCCGGGGACAACCAGTGACCCAATGCTGGCACTCCCAGGAAGCTCTGGGGTGACTTTGGGGTGAATCTCTTCTTTTCTTTAGAAGTGGTTGCTTCCTTTGTCTGTGCCCCTCCAAAATGACTTTTCGGGGGTGCTCAGGGTGCCCAGGGCAGACACAGGGCTTTGCACAAGGATGCTGGACTCACAGAGAAGACAAAACTGTGCACCCCATCCCCCCTCTTCTCCCACTCCCTTTATTGCCTTCACACCCAGCTTTGAACCTGAGAAGGGCTTTGGCTGCAGGGGGGACTGTGGGGAACCCCCGTGAACCCCCGTGAACCCCCAGACCCACAGAGTAGCAGAGGGCTTGGGGGAGCTCCCCATGCCAGACCTAATCTCTTCTGGGAGCACAGCTGGGTGGGGTTCAGCCCCCCAGAGTCCTGGCACTGACCTGTGGAAGGTCATCTCAACCCTCCCTCCCTTCATATCTCCTTTAATTTATAAGATTTTATATGCCTCCCCCAGCAGCCATCGACCCCACCAAGGGGTCCCAGTCTTTGGGGACCCCCTTGTCCCTGCCCTTGTCTCCTCTGCTTTGTGGTAGAGCCAAGTCCTGAGCGCCCACCTCTGCTTGCACTGGGGGGACAGGGGGCCTGACGGGGGGACACAAGGAGTCCTGGGGGGCCCAGGCGGGTGGGGGCAGCTCTGCCCCAGGGGCTGTTTCCGAGGGTACGGGGTGGGCTCGGCCCCACAGCGCCCGGACAGGTCGTGGCTGCCCCACTCAGGCCTCTGCAGCAGGAATTCAGCAGGGATTGGGGGCAGCGTGTGCCACTGTGAGTGCAGGGTGCCACCCCCCTGCTGCCCCCCCAGGCACGGCCAGTCCTGAGTGGGGTCCCAGTCCTGTGCTCGTGGCCCCGCAGGGGCAGGGCTGGGGGTGGACAGTGCCATGGTAGGGGAGGGAAGGGCAAGGGAGAGATTTGTTGTTTAATTTTTTTTATGAAGTCTGTAAATACGGAGAAATAAACCTTTCTAACAAACTGGGGGCAGCCTGGGTCCTTCTGCCCCTCCCACACCCCAAGAGAGATGAGCTGCCCCAGATGGGCACAAGCACTGGGGGGTGGTCAGAGCTGGGGGGGCAACGCTGAGGATTTGGGGTGGGAATACCCATCCCAGAAGGGGGTGGGGGCTTCCAGGTTCAGCCAAGCCAGGGCTGAGTGATGCCCCCTCACCCGCCCAGCCCCAGGGCACAGATTTGGGGGGCCAGCTCCAAGGGAGCGAGCAGAAAAAAATCTCCCCTGTCCCAAGGCCACGTGGGGAAGGGACACACCAACTTCCCTTGCGAATAAAAGCCTGAAAACACTAGATTGGGAAGCATTTGGGTTTGCAAAGCTGCCCCCCTGCAGAGCACCCTGCAGCCCCCCAGCACTCCCCCAGAGGGGACTGTCCCTTCCTGCCAGCTGTGACAGGGAGGGGCCCTGTGCTGGCGGGTTGGGGAGGAAGAGGTTAATTTTCCTTGTAGCTTGGCCTCCCCAGCAGGGCCCAGCTGTGCCGGTAATGAATTCCTCAGCACTGATGGGAAGGAGGGACTGGCCCCCACCCCAGTCAGGGGGGCTCAGGCTATGGGGAAAATGCTGGGCACATGGGGAGGGGGGCAGGGGGCCAGTGCCGGTGGGTTTGGGTTTGGACCCGGTGCCTAGGGGATATGCTGAGGTGTGTGGGGACATACACGGAGGCTTGAGAACATGCCACCATCTCGGGGTACCACCAGGCATCTTCACAGCTCCTGCTTCACTCCACGTCCTACGAGGGCATCGATCCCCCGGGCGCGTGGAGGTGCAGTGGAGCAGGGCTGGATGTGCCCCTGCTTCCCCATTGCAGGGAAAAATCCCTGGGCAGGGTCAGGCCCTCGGCCAGGCAGGGCGCCAGGCTGCCCAGGCACGGGGCACAGGGGCACGGAGCAGGTTGTGTGGCAGGGATGCTGGGGACAGGAGGTGGTGGCACCCGGCAGCCCCAGGCACAGCCCCAGGGCCCGACTGTGGCCATGGGCGCTGGCCACCCCGCGCCGGGGCTGCACCCTGAGGGACACGGCCAGGGGCACCCCACGGCCACGGCACTGGCACTGTCCCCCCGACACCTGGCACACGCAGGCCCTGGCACCCACCCAGCACCCCAAACGCACTCTCCCTCTGCGTGGGGCACACACATCTCACCACGAATGTGTCCCTTGTCCCCACAGCCACGGGGACATGTGCTGATCCTGGGGGACCAAAAGCCCTTGAGACCAGGGGAGCACCCAGCCCAAGCCCAGGCACAGCACTGGGACAAAGCAGGGCTGGAGTCCCCAGTCTGTACCCACCGGTGCTGCTGCTGGGCAGGGTCTGTTTGTGATTCATCCCCAGTAATTAAAGTCCCTTTTTAATTGCAGCTGGAGGTTTCACAGACCAGGGCTGGCCCGGGGGGCCATGGGGACCCCAAAACCCCCAGGGAGCAATGGACTGAGAGGTGCTTCTGGATGGGCCCTGGTGTGCTGAGCTCCAGCTATGCCAGCCCCAGCTCCATCCCTGCCCCTGCCCATTCCTGCCCTTTTCCTTCCCTTTCCCGCCCATTCCTGCCTGCTCATGCGTTCCGAGGGGCTGATCCCAGCGCTCTCTGTCCAGCTCCCAACTTGAAATGATGCCACCCTTCCAGGTCCCCAGCCAAGGCCCCTTGTGCCCAGCGGTGCCAGTGGCAGGAGTGGGTCAGGAGCCGTGTGGATTTGCCACGTGCTTTTCCACGTGGCTGCGCCGCGGTAATCCCTGTGCACCACTCGTGTCAGCAGTGTGTCCCCCGTCATGCTGTGGTTGCTGTGAAAGCTCCTGGGGACAGGGAGTGGGGCCCGAGATCACAGGTGCCTGTGTGAAGGGGCTGAGGGGGGACCCCCGTCCTGCTCCCCATCATCCGTCCTCCCCCTCCCAGCCCCGGTGCCCGCAGGAAGGGTGAGGGGCTTAAAGGATTTTGCTGCGGGGTGACCACGGGCTGGGCAGGGGAGGGACATCGATTTGATGTTAATGCTGAGCGGTATCGATCAGGGCTGGAGGGAGGAGTGAGGGTGGGCACCCCAGCCCGGGATCGCCCTTCGCAGAGCTCAGGCAGCTCCCAGCAGGGCCCTCCCTGCGGCCGGCAGCCGTGGGGAGCTGGGGAAGGAGCTTGGGACCCCTCCAAAAGCTTGTTTTTGCTTCAGAGCTTGCGCTGGGGGCTTGAAGGGAAGAGCAAAGCTCAGAGCTGGGGGCTGTGCTCTGGCCCCTTCCCCTCGCGGGTGGCTGGTCCCTGCAGCAGCGCAGGCAGCACTGCAGCCGCAGCACTCCAGAGGGGAGAGAGAGCAGCTCAGCAGCACCTGCCCGGCCCTGCCCTGCACCCGAGGGTCACTCAGTGCCACCAGGTGCCCCCGATGCTCCACGGGACCCTCATCCCCACGGTGCCGAGCCCGCTCACCCTGCCCAGCCCGTGTGGCCCGGCTCTGGCTGGCTGCTCTGCCACGCTGGGCTCTGCCAGCGGCTCTGGAGCCAGCGAGCCCAGCCGGGGCCAGGGCACAGGCGTGGGGATGCTGCAGATGGCCGGCGCTGCAGACCCTGGCACGAGGCAGCCGCGGCACTGCCACCCTCCCGGGGGTCCCTCACCCCCAGACGCTGCTGGGGACCCTCGTCACCGGGAAGGAGCCAATCCCACCCACAGCAGGGCGGGGGTCTGTCCCCGTGCCCCCCGGCCCCAGCTCCCCAGGGACTGGCAGAACCCGCAGAGTCCTGGGCCGTGGACTGGAGCCACGTCTCCGTGGCAGCAATGGCCAGACAACAGTGGAAAATGGCCAAAAATGTGGGTTTAGACTTGACCAGACTTGAGCCTGCTGGTCCAGGCCTGCGGGCAGTCCCCTCAAAGGGGAAACTGAGGCACAGATGGATTTATCTGCAATCACCCAAGAGCTCAGCACCAGTCACTGTGAGGGGACACCTTTTGCTCTGTAAAAACAACAGATAATCGGGAAGAGCTGTGCACTGGCAACAGCAGCATCTGTGACAGCAATCTGTGGGGGAGCAGCAGGATTTGGGGACGGAGGTTTCCTGGGCGTGTGACAGAGCAAACACAGGCGATGGGGAGGGGCCCAGTGGGAGCCCTGCTCTGCTGGCCACGGGGCCGCTCGAAAATGGTTTAATTGGGACAAATCGGGAATGGTTTTGCTGCTGCTCCAGGGCAATCTGGTGCTGGAATTTGGGGAAGAATTGGGCTTTTCTGCTGCAGTTACCTTTATGGAGACAAAATCTGGCTGGCCACAGCCCTGCACAGACATTGGAGGGGCAGGCCCCCCGCCAGACCCCATCAGGGTCTCTGGACTGCGCTCCCCACAGCGGTGAGTCCTGTATCCCAGCACCAAACACCTCTCTGTCTCCTCAGCCCCCTATCCCCGTGCCCCCACAGCACCCCATTGCCTCCTGACGCCCTGCTCGCACCCCGGGGAGCTGGTGGCTTTCGGGGTGGCAGCTGCCACCACCCCCAGCCCAGCCCAGCCCAGCGCAGCCCAGCCGGGCGCGGCTCTCCGGGGCTCGCCCGGCCGGGCGCGGGGTGGCCGCGGGACGCGCGCCGAGCCGGGGCAGCGGCGGCAGAGCAGCCGCTAGATGGTAGCGTAGGTCCACGCCAACGCTGCTGACACAGCACCCGGCTGGGAGAGCGCCCGGTGACCCGGGCGGCCCCGGGGACCCGCCTCCGCCGCCCTCCGCCCCAGCCGAAAAGAAATCCTGGCAGGGCTGCGCACTCGGGAGCCGTGACGGGAGTGGCACGGGCACTGCCATGGCTGGAGCCGCCTGTGCCCACGGGGACAAGTGGGGGACCCTGCTCCCAAACCCACCGCATCCACCTCTACCCCAAACTCAGGCTCCAAACACACCCCCCAAACCACCACCGGGCACGAGCCTGACGCGAGAGGGATCAAACCCAGGCCTGGGGACCAGCAGGATGACCCACAGGGCACCCAGTTCAGTGTGGGGGTGCTGGGCACCCACGGGAGTCTGGCAGGGCCAGGTGGGGGTGTCCATCCCACTGGAAAACACTTCGTTTAACTCCTCATCCACCTCCAGCCCTGCCAGGGGCTCCATGCCAGACTGATATATATATTTTATGATAACTATAGAGATGCACTTCAAACCTGACAAAGGACTTTGACAGTTTTAAGCATCTCTTTGATTAATACATGACCTTTTAATGCTTTG